CATAAGCAGTAACCTTTTCAAAGAATGTTAAAAGATTTGTAAGGTATTCCCTTAGTAAATCCATATTGACTATCCAATAAAATTCTAAACTTTGTTAAATAACTTTGCAAAGCATTTTTTATCAGACTTTCCAAAATTTTTTCCACAATGATGTAAGACTAATGGGTTTATAATTAATGGGACAATTTTTTATCACCTCCCTTGAAAAGAGGAGTTACATTATTTAAATTCCAATCCTCTGGTACCTGCCCACTATTCAAGGACTGACAAAAATTAGTAGCAAGTGGCTCACATATCCAATCTTTAACCTCCTTCAAATCCCTTGGGGATATATTATCTATTCCAGGAGCCTTATCGTTCTTTAAACTTCCCAATTTTTTCTTAACCAACTTAATGCAGTCACCCAGTTCGATCTTGTTTCCATCAACTGTTCAAGATGTGGAATGTTGCTTAAACCTTGGTTGGTAAAAACCCACGAAAAAGTAAAATTTAATATTCCAGCCATTTCATAATAATCAGATACTTAGGCTTAGGTTGATTTACTCTAGATGACTATGTCAGTGTGTGTATTCTGAACCCATTTTAGCATAAAAGTACAACCTATATACTTTTGTTGCTCCTTTACCGGATGTGGCTTGTTTATAAAGGTAACCTTCCCTCTGACTTGTCCTCCGATTTTAAACTTTAATAATAAAAACAAAATTTCTTTAATTAACGAAGCCTCTAGATTAGAAAACAAATATTTGTTTTCAATTTTGTAGTTTATAATTTCATTCTATACTTTCAGCACATATCCTCTTAAAAACAATATTAGGTTATACTTTTATTGCTAAGCAACATGATATAAAAGCCATTGTTTAACGCATTGTTACCAAAACGCACTGGATTTTCTACATATTAGTACCACTTCTTTTCTATGTGTTTTTTCGCTAGATTGCTTCATTAAAAAGATGCGCATGGGCCTGGATAAGTAATACCCATGTGCACACCCTCAGGGTTTACTTAGTATGGGTGCAGAATTTCAGGTTTTTTGGTTCTTTCCTCTTGAAGCTATGGTGGTCACACACACACACACACACACACACACAAACACAGACTTGCGCATGCACGCACGCACGCACACATGTGACTTGTGCAAGAATATCGACAGTAGTGTTCTTTAATGGTTGTTCAAGTGACATGTTGCAACATACAATTAGGAGGGCCAGTTAGGTGAATAGCACTGGTCTTTCTGGGTAAATGCGAGGTTTCCTGCAAGCTAAGGAATGTTACATTTGGTCATTCTAGTCTGGAATAGAATCTTTAAAAAGGGGCCAATAAGAGTATCCAGTAAAAGTGATAGATCTTCGTATTCTAAAGCAGATACACATACTGTGATTGTGTTTAATAAATATTATGCATTTTTATATTTCATATTGTGTTCAGTCTTCTTTTTCCATTTTACATCAAATCGGTTAGTAATAGATTTAGTATTACTTTGTAACCAATATCCTGAAAAAATCCCCTGTTATCAAACGGACCTATCCAATACACCTCGAAAACTAATTCAATTTCACCTGGATATACGTTACAGTCAAGTGATTTGGCTTTCATATATAAATTTCTTAATCAAACTTAAGAGCTTTATTACATTTGTTAAAATAACTAAAATTATGTTACATGTTAGCCTATAGTTCTTGTTTACAGTTTTACATTAATAAGCCCTTATATGTTACGGTCGTCTGTGTATAACGTAAAATAATTTAAGGCACTTAAAGTATAGGTTTTAGGTATCCAATAACTGGATACATCACAGCTTACTTATAACAACAAAGCAATAACAAGAAACAATGTCCAAGATAAGAAATTAATAAATTTTAAAAGTACTGAATACAGTTTAAGTTCAGGACAACTTTTCACGATCATTTACAGTATGTTAATTAATTATCTTAATTAACTTTTTAAAAAAATAAATCTTTAATTATACAAAAGTCTTGTATTACTTACGTTATACCAGTGGTCACAGATCAATTGAACTTGGTTGAACAAGGTGTGGTTAGGACAAAGGTAACTGTATTTCCTCCCCTTCATGTTACACATATGGTACACTTGGCAACCAGCCTTGGGGTGGGGGTCAGCATAGTAGCCTGGGAGTTTTGTGAAGCACGTGAAATTTGTTGCGGGGATAGCATTTAGTTTGGGATATTCTCCGTGCTATGTGAACAACATGAAATACAAATGAAATGAACCTATACGGTTTTCTGAGAACTCCAAATATTAACAGCAGTAAAATCCTAACATAATAAAAAATCTCATACATAAATTACTGGTTCTCTGTGATCGTTACTTAAAGAATTAACCTACCTAAATCTGTGCGTAGTATAGAACCAAAACGAATAATTTTGATACTTCTCATTTTATAAAGCAACAAACTTCAAAATGGTACTTACATGTAGTAAAGGTTTTTACATTACTAACTTCTGAAATCAAATCAAAAACTAATTCTGTGGTTTTCAAGTCTTCGTATCCTAGCAAAGATAATGAAACCTGTTCCGGAGTACACAGTTTTCAGTTTAAAATACATTATCAACTCACGTAAAAATAAATTAATTGTGTATTTACAGTAAGGCTGAGGCGATAGGATATTAATATTTGTTGTCGTAAACTAGCCTATACGATCACTTTAAACTAGTAATTAATAACACACACACACATATATAAGAAAACACTGGAATACCAGACTTTATTCCTTTTCTTTTATTAATTTGTTCTACCGGTTTCGTGACTTCAAAGGTCACTCTTCAGGAAATAGTTTTACTGAGAATTAGTAAGTCTTAATAACTGTTTTCACGGTTTTAAATTGTGAAGAGTGACCTTTGAAATCACGAAACCGGTATAAGAATTTAATATCGGCACTGACTATCATTATTATAACGCCCTCACAGCTGAACATGTACGATGCGTGTTCAGTGGTATATCGTGGTTCGAACCTTAAACCTTTCGTAGCACAATCCAGGCCAAGAACAGATAGGACTTTGAACATGTTTAATTGATTATTATTAAAACTCACCTAGTGTACCCGTTAAGGAAGTAAAAATTGTATAAAGGACAAAGTTACATAATATTCACCTTCTTTATTATTAGTCCCTAATGACCTCATTATATGCTAATTGCATATCCTGCTTTGTGGAAGGTAATAATTAACTCGTTTAATTGATTAAGTACTCGTGTCTTTAAATTCAGAGCCAAAAGTCTATAAAATAGTGAATAATGTGCCATATTTCAGTGTTTTTATTCCTCTTCCCGGGAAATAATCCTGAAACGAAGTAGCCCATGTATACCGTTGGTCAGTTTACAGTTTTGCCGTGACATAAAATACTGTTTGGTTTAAATATTTGTGATTAATTTATATTTGTGAGTGAATA